TTGGTTTGTGGGGGGGTTGGGGGTTGGGGGGGGGGGGGGGGGGGGGGGGGGGGGGGGGGGGGGTGGGGGGGGGAGTGTCCAGCGAGCTGAGATTGTGACCTACAGAGAAAGGGGCCCAGCCACCTGGGAGAAGCACTGCCCGACCCATCCTTTCCTCCTGCACCCCTGCATGCAGCTCTGTGTACACCTTGCCCAATGCGTCACCAATGAGCCACCCTTCTCCCTCCTCCAAGCCTTTCCCCAGGCTGTCTGCCCTGCTGCAGAGCCCTCTCCTGTTTAGCTGACTCCTGCCGGTCCCTGAAGACCCCTTTTCCTCCATGCTCCCTCCTATGCTCCCTGAAGATTAGCTGCCTCCTCTGCTGGATGTGACCCCATGGCCACTGCCTTTGTGGGGAGCCGGCACGGCCATGGCATACTCATGCCAGCTCAGCCTGGTTCAGTGACCCTGAGTGGGGGCGATGAAAGGCTTAGAAAAGATAGACAAGAGAATGAAAGCTGGGTCTCGGTAAGACGCTGCTCTTCTGATGGACAGCGCCAGCACCCACAAGCCGTGTCTTTATTTTATAGCAGATGCCACGAGGCAAAGTAAGGGCGTGGTCAAGATGTTTACAACATTCTCGTGGGTTTTAATCCTACTCAACTACATGCACCTGAACTCTATCAAGCCCACATTACTCAGGCACGTGGGGCCACGTGTTCGAACCACAGGTTCAAGCTTACAACTACAGCTGTTGGCTATAATTGTGCTGGGAAGGCTCTGCCCTCCAAGCTGGGACTTGCACGTGGCCATGAGAGGACTGTGCCCTCTCCTCAGTCCCAGGCTTGAACCTGTACAAACACTGTAGCCGTGCCCCATAGCCTGCCATATGTCACACTGGCCAGGATTCCCTGTCCTCACACCCAATCACACTGTCACTAGATGCGGGCCTTCTAGGATGGCTTTCTGCAGCACCTGGGGGTCACCATGGCCAGGAGGGCCAGGGCCCCCTGTAGCCACAGCCACACAACATGAGACCCCCAGTGGGAAGAGCACCTTTATTGTCAGAGCGTCACAGACTTCCCGCCCACCTCTGACCCCCCCGCCCGCCCCCTCCACGAAGACAGGCCTGCGGGAGGCTGCACGTTGGCTCCAGGGACAGCTCTGCCCGGGAGGGGCAGTCAGAGCCTCGAGGAGGAAGAGGTTACCAGGTGGGGAGCGGGCCGCAGCCTCCCAGGGGAGCTGGAGCGCTGGGCATGGGTCGCT